TTGAGAATTGTAGTTTATAAAATATTCAAGACTTAAGTTACTATATATATAATTGGCAATCAATTATGAGCTGTCTTCATCAGGTCTTTCTACATTATTTCTGAAGTTATATCAATGGTCAGTTTGACATTCAACATTGAAATGTTTACATATTAGATTACACCAGTAATTTGTGTACAGATACACTAGTATTTACATACCAAAATTACCTATAAAACTTTATATATATACTTTAATTATAATCTATAAATGAGAGAAGGAACAAATAATAGAATAAGAGCCACTTTTACATACTGTGTTCTAATTTTCACAAAACAACTTTTATTATAAAAGGTCACTTACAACATTTTCATACAGTATAGTGGAAACGGAAGTCCAATTTAGTGAAATGGTTAATTCTCGGGCTCTCTACGAGAAACTGTTGTAAATACGTTGGACGTGTAATTTCATATGGGAGTTGTACTGAAGCAGTTTTGCAGTCAACCCTCGAAATGTCACAATTTATTAAAAACACAAATTGCTGATTCACTTCTGTAAACAAAATTGCCCCTGATGCAAAAAGAAAACAACAAGCCCTTGACATAGTGACCTATTTAATATGGAGTGGGTGTCGTGACAATGCAGAAGGTCCCATAAAATGTCACAGCAACCATAAAATGTGACACAGACCACTAAATATATACCAGTCCAGCTGTCACCTATAACACCAATTAAATAAGGCCATATTACAAAAATTAATTGGTTCATTTCTGGACCAATTAAATTAGGCCATACACAAATAATAATTGGTTTATCTCTGGATCAATTAAATTAGGCCATATACAAATAATAATTGGCTTATCCTAGACCAATCTGATAATAATATAGGCCAAATAGAAACAAACTCTGGGTTTAGTACAAAATTATGGTAGCAGAATTATACAAAATACACTGTTTCTATTAACCAAAATTTAAATAAACACAAACTTGTTTTAGAAAATATTTTGTTTTGTGTTTTAATAAATCTTACCAGCATTATCTGGGGAACTTGGTATTATTTTCTATCTAATTTTAAAGTTTGTTTGCATGTTAATATATTATATATTTCTCAATAAAATCTGAATAAAATGTAATCATAGTTCATAAAACTATACCTCTTTATCTGAATAAAAGAGTTTTACCACTATAAATGTTAAGTATATGTTTAGCTCAGTTTAAATTTCCACAGATCAACCAATGGTTTCATTTATAGCTTATCAAAATGCTAGGTTAGTATATTTGAATTTCAATATATAACGAATTCTATACTCGGTTATTTTAAAGTGAGTTTAAAACGCAGTGAGATATTTTCCTTGCATTAATAGCACGTCAAGTATATATAATTTGAAAGCATACATAGGGTGTACTTTTCTCTCCTTTCTTACTCTTACAGAAATATTGAAACTTCTGCGGTTTTGAATCTGGAATCGAAATCATCATCAAAACAATTAATTGAAGGCTTCAATTGTGAATGAAAGTGTGAATAGTAAATATAGACCACACCTCTTCAAGTCTGCTTATCCCTGAAACTTACAACTCTGGTTTATCCATAACATTAAAACACTGTGGTAATGGTTCACAGATAGCTGTGGACCCTGATTATCTATCGATGCCAGGGTTTGGACAAGGCCATACACATTTACCATTATGAAACCTTCTTATGAAAACTGTCTACTTTTTGCATTTGGAGCAAAGGCCTACTTGATAAGGTTTCTGCCTCTCAACCCAGGGGTCATTGGTTTGAGCCCTACTTGGGTCATGCCCATGTTTCCCTTATATGACACCAGTACCAGTTAGTTCCAGGAAGTGGTAGTTCCAGGAAGTGGATTCTTTTAAGTGATTTATATATGTTGCAGGAACTTGTTTCGCAAGTGAGCTTAAAATATGTTAAAACTAACCTTTAGGGGTTTAAATAATATAAAAACACTAGAATTAAACAAGCAGTATGTTCACAGTCCAATCACAATGCAGCTAACTTGGCCTAGGCAAAATCAAGTTAAGATTATCTCTGCTAGTACAACTAGCCAAGAACCAGCCAATTGAACTATGATTTCTACAGCTTATAGAAAAACTTTGCACAAGAAATAAACCTTCTCAAGCAATACACTTAAATTTCAATGTTGAATGCACAATGTCAACAAATTTTCTTATATTTACAGTCAATCAATGCCATCTTTATCTACTCTAACAAATTAAGAGGAAAAAAAGAATCCCTCAGAATACAATCATACGCTGAAGTATTACTTAAGCTTAATATATATATATTTATATAGGAAAATATTCAACACTTACAAGGGCCATACAAAACATGCATAAGTGCAAAACACACATTTATTAAAATGTCTTATATGACACTACAGTAGAGATTTATATATCAAAAGTATATATAAACTATAATTCTTAGGTTCAAAATATATGTAGTGTCAAAATACATCAAGATCCGACAATATTTTTAATTCAAATATTGTGGTATAATATGATATGTGCACTGCTGGTTCTGGTTACATATCATAGATACACATTTAAGTTGTCTATATGCTTCAATTGAATGTAAAATTGATTAAATGCCAAAAGTCGTACAAATTATAAATTCATACTGATAAGATCAATTTAATAATGATGAATTTTCAATGGTGCATTTCCAGACATAAATTTACAGCAATCATTTAATTTTAAACCCAAAATGATGTCAGATGTGAGAGTGACAAACCGAAGGGAAGGAGAATATATAGGAGGATGGAATGAGAGGGATATGAGAGGCATTGTGTGAACATGAGAGGGATGGTGGGTGAGAGGTTTGTTTAGTTGTTTTTTGTTTATTTGTCTCATTTTTACAGTTATCTAACACAGATTTAGTCACATCTACCTATCCCTTGAGAGTGATTGTTGAAGAGATAAAAAAAAGATGAGTGTGAGGAAGAGGGGAAAAAAGAGGGTGTGAGGAAAGAGGGAAAAAAGAGGGTGTGAGGAACAGGGGGAAAAAGAGGGTGTGAGGAAGGAAGAAAAAAAGAGGGTGTGAATAAGAAGGAAAATAGAGGGTGTGAGGAAGAGGGCAAAAAAAGAGGGTGTGAGGAAGAGGGGAAAAAAAGAGGGTGTGAGGAAGAGGGAAAAAAAGAGGGTTTGAGGCCGAGGATTGAAGGACAAACTACTCTGAAGGAAGAAAACAGAAGATGGTGTGTGTAAGCATATAAACAAGAGCTGTCCGTAAGACAGCGCGCTCGACTTTTTTATTGCTTGCCAATAAAAAAAGTTTTTGCAGTAAAAGGCAATACAAGAATCTCTGTATTTTTAAAGTGAACTAGTTGTTTGATACCCTTGAATATTACAGCAATGTTTATATGACATAATTTATGGTAAAGTGAACAAGTGGATAGGAATGAATTTTTTTAGATTTTTTAAGTTTTTTAGTGCTTGCCTATAATACAAAACATTGACAGTTAAGGGCCATAATTCAAATAAAATCTTTGACAGAATTACCTTCTCCTGGACATGTTTGGGAATAATGATTGTAAACAAGTATTCCAACTTTCAAATTAATATCTCAAACAGTTCAGTCAAAAAGTGGACTGGTACTAAAAACTTAACCAAGATTCTAAGTCGATAAAAGGCCTTAATTTTTAAAACAAATCCTTGACAGAGTTACCTTCTCTTGCGTACAGATGGGGGTAATGATGTGAAATAGCATTAAAAGTTTCAAAGCAATATCTCAAAGGGTTAAGGCAATAAGTGGATTTTACCCATATTCAATGTATTTTCTAAGTCAAAAAGGGGCATAATTCTGTCAAAAACCTTGACAGAGTTATGTCCTCTTGTCTGTTGATGAAGGTCGTGATGGTAAACAAGTATGGTCAGTTTCAAAGCAATACCTCCAATGGTTTTGAAATAAAGTGAGGTGGTACAAAAAACTTAACCAAGCTCAATACACTTTCTAAGTCAAAAAAGGGCCATAATTCTGTCAAAAACCTTGACAGAGTTATGTACTCTTGTCTGTAGATGGAGGTTATGATGGTGAACAAGTATGGTAAGTTTCAAAGCCATACTTGTAATACTTCTGAAATAAAGTGGGGTGGTACGAAAAACTTAACCAAGGTGTGACGCCAACGCCGACGCTAACGCCGACGCCGACGCCGGGGCGAGTAGGATAGCTCCCCTTTTCATAGAAAAGTCGAGCTAAAAATATACGCTAGCTCCCCTCTTTTTAATTCAATACAATCAAGTAAGTGTTTTGCCTTTTTATTGTATACTATATCTTACTGCATTATCAAAATATCTTTTTGAATTAACATGATAAATTATTCAACAAATGCATTATTTTAATAGTTCAAAAATAATAAAGTTTTGAGTGTTTGCAGGTGACATAAGATGGCACAAAATTCTGTTTCAAGTAAGGTCATGATCATTATTGTTTTATTACTATGATAAAATGTATAATGATTTCATTATATGACTGCTTTATTTTCATTTACACATCCCTAAACATGATTTTGTCTCCCCCTCTTTGTAAAGTTAAATGCCAAATTTGAGAAGAATGACATGCCAAATAGCCAAATTTCTGTCAAACAAAGAAAGGATCATATCTAACATTTATGCACATTATTTACATTTTTTAAGAGAAATCTATGTGCATCAGGAAACACTGGCAAGCTAAACGAGCACAATTCCTTTCTTGCCATAAAACAAAAGTTGGCAATTTAAAATATTGTCTGCCTTCACAATTGAGCTATTGAGAAACGAACTTTATCATATAGGTCATTGCATCTATTTCACTTTAATCTATTTTTCATGCAAAATATCTAATAAATATCACCGAACTTTCGTCCAGGTAAACACTTGTCTCAAGGATTTATGATATATTAACAAATATCTGATAACATTGACGTCATTTATCTCATTATAATATTTACCGTGACTTGTTGCTATCTTTTTCAGAAATTTTAGAAATATAATCAATTTGAAAATGAAAGTAATATCATACAAAATACCTTTTTAAATGGTGGCGGAGGTTTTGGTTTGGCGTCTGGATCTGCGTCTAACAAACACTCGTCACATTCACATGGGTCCTGTGACTGTCCGACCATGAAGCCATCATCGTCAATACTAGCCGTGTCACTCAGATTACTCATATCTGAGCCTGTACTTTGGGTGCGCTGGGTGGCAACATTTAATGGAACTTCTTTGAAATTCAATATGTCCTGAGGTGGATCAAAATTCCCTGATCTTGGATCAGAATCAGTATCTATTTTCCTAGCTTTTGCTGCTATCTCTTCTGATTCACAAGAATTTCTTGACGGCTTATCATCAAGGTAAAAACCTTTACCATCTTTCTCAACAAACACTTCTTCCCCATCCCCACCATTTTTAAGTGTATACTTTTCTACATCTGCCATATCAAGTTCATTAGAGCTTTCCTCTTCTTTCAGTATGTCTCCTTTATTGTTGAAATTGTTGACACAATCAATGTCCAAGTTTGACCTTTTCACACTGGAAACAGTAGTAGTCCCTTCACTTATACATAAATCATTTTCCACAGTATCAATGATACACTCAGCCTCTGGCTTGTTTACTCTATAATCATTTTGTTCACTAGATCCTGACAAATGTAAATCATGTAGATTTAACTGGTTTTTCTGATCATCTAAATGTATATGACCGACACCTTGAATACACAGGTCATGTGTAATATATGCATTGTTAATACTATATTGTTGTGGGCTATTACTATTGATCGAATCATCAAAAGATTTACCTTGACTGTTACTACATAAGCTTTTATGCACTATTTCCTCCCCTGTTTGCTCCACTGTGTTCTCATCCATGTTTGTTTATACAACTAAAAATTATGCACAAATCAAAACTTACAAGCTATTCACACAAGGTCCTTTTCATTATACTTTAAACGTAAACTATTTTTCCTTTCAAAACATCCTGTTTAATTTATTCACCCTTACAACAAAATATCTGAGAATATATTTTGATGTCGTGTGACAATACTGTAGATTTAAACACTGTGTAGTGTGAATTTCAACTGCTTTCAATAGTTTTAACAATGTAATAAATAAATCTTGTCTCAGATTTCCATTTTTTTCCTTCCTATTTTTCCTTATTTAGCCAACCGCTGTCCTTTACACAAAACAAAACTACGAGGTATTATTCCTACAGTTAATAAAAATAAACGCTTGCTTTTATTTCATGTTTACAATCTACTTGCCGGGGCTAATGCATTTGCCTTAAATTTAGATAGTGCCCCCAATAATATCGTTGTAAATAAATATCCATAAAAACTAGAAAACCACACCCAAGTATTACAAGCTTTTTAATCTTTCTTTTTCAAATAAAGATGTGAAGGTGACATTTTAACCATATTAACTTTACGTACATAAATTTACCCGACACTTGCATCTAGGTAATATTATAGTACTGTGACCCCCTCATAACCTACTCCAGCAGTCATTCAATTTCACTCCATATTGAATTTGCTTAACCATCCACTAAACTATTTTTTTTCTCTTCACTTTTTTTTCTTATGCTCAAATATTTTTTTCTTTGACATGTTACATATCATATTTAATATATCCTTGTATTATGTAACTTTGCAAGAGAGAAAGCAAACAAAACCAAAACAGAGTATTAATATCCCCCTGTCAGTGTCTTTTAAACTAATGGAAAGTAAGCGCAGTAAGTTCAATATACAAGTATATCAAAGAGATAACCATTTGTAAAGAAATGCTTTAATATTAATTAAATATTTCTTAAAACCCGTAACCTGCAAAAATCAAAAGTGATTAGTCTTAGCCACCAGTATGGAGCCAGGCCAACCTGCACATCCATGCAGTCTGATCGTTTTTGAAATTCCTAAAATTAAGAATGGACTGTTCCAAAATCAAAGCAGGGCAAATCCATTATGAAAATTCAACATGTTAATAAGGGTTAAATTTATCTAAACTACTCTGCAATATTCACTATTATCACTATTTACCTTCCACACCAACTGCTGCAACTACAAAATGATTCAAACCTTGCAAAAGTGAACCTATATATATAAATTTTCATATCTAGATATGTTTATGACGTCCTTTTAACAGCACAGATTTATGTAATGGCTTTTGTTGTAATTTTGCAATGACATAAACTATTCAAGTTGACAGATTCGTCCTGATCAAAAAACAATGGTACAAAATTACTCCCGCCTACACATAGGTGAAAAAACTACAGTACAATACAACTTTATTCTTTGTCAATATTAGGTCATACATTTTTTGTATAAACTGAAAACTGATAGCTCTAATATATCAAAATCTAGATTTCTGTTGTAAGAGTAACTAAATATTAGTGTATATCTAGAACTATTGGTTATGCACAAAAAAAACAACAAAATATAAAGAACATTTCAGAAAGAGCTATGACATAAGATAATGAAAATTAAAGCAATCCTGAAGTTTGTTACCAAATACAAATACAGCACAATGTCACCTTTCAGCTACAGCTTATTGGCTTAAAACCTGAAATAATGCTTTCTAACAAAAGTTATGCCAAAACAAATCAAAGCACAGAAGGCGCTGAATTTGTTTGGGTCTCAAAATGTCAGAAAGGTGAAGGCTTCCTAAGCGAGGGCGTAAACCCCTCGGCCACGGTGAAGTTATATGATAACGGCCTGAAGAAAACCATATTATTCTAAATTAGGGTTTGTAACCCTTATTATTTCGACGCAAACTGTTGTTTAACACAGATGTAAATAATCATGGAGCTTACTTTAAGCATGTATATCTATAAAAAATAAAACAATGTTAGAAATCTTCGACCATTCGGGAACTATTTTGTTTGAAAATTAATGCGCCTGTCATTTGATCCTCTTTACGCTCTGATCTCCCCGGAATTTTTGGGCGTTAGTGTACATATAAAGGGAAGTAACCGCTTCAAAAAAGCAGACTACTTTCGGCATTTGCAATTAACAGCATCAGAGTCTGAAATTTTGCTACCATTATTTGTTTGGTCTGACGACCCAAACAAATAAAAACACTACACTAAAATCTGAAATTATGCTTTCTAATGAAAGATATGCCATGACAAACACTGCACTTAAACCTGAAATACTGCCTTCTAATGAAAGCTATGACAAGACAAAACGCAGCACTAAAACCTGAAATAATGCTTTCAAACAAAAGCTATACAAGACAAAAACACTGCACTTAAACCTGAAATTATGCCTTCTAATGAAAGCTATGACGCACTAAAACCTAAAATAATGCTTTCTAACAAAAGCTATACCAAGACAAAACACAGCACTAAAACCTGAAATAATGCTTTCTAACAAAAGCTATACCAAACAAAACACTGCACTAAAACCTGAAATAATGCTTTCTAACAAAAGCTATACAAGACAAAACAACTGCACTAAAACCTGAAATAATGCTTTCTAACAAAAGGCTTTACCAAGACAAAACACAGCACTAAAACCTGAATAATGCTTTCAAACAAAATCTATACCAAGACAAAAACACTGCATTAAAACCTGAAATGTTACCTGAATCAAACTTCAGCTACGGCACAAGACAATGAATACGGCACTAGACAATGAAACTATCACATGCATTCTTAAACTGTTTATGTTAAGACAATCATTACATCCTTACTTCAGATATAAAATCAAACATTTAACATCTTTGCATACTTTGCTAAAACATTGCTTCATAGAAGCTACTGTTCATTATTCACAATGTAGCTGAGAAACAATTGTTAACAAGTTTTTAAACTGCTATTGTAACCTATACTTTTCAAGCCATGCCATGATATTTTGGTATCTTTGAAAAAAAAATAACACTTATTTCTTGCCCTTCTAAATATATGATGGAGATGCCTTAACCTGAACTTTTAGCTGAAATTGAAATGAGCAGCAAATAATAGACACAATAGACTGTATTTTGACTTATGAAGGGGTTTATGCTGGTATGTTGCATCCCTGCAGCCACAGATTACCCTTTGAATAAATAATGACTATGGTTAAACAAGAAACTATTGATCTACTTAACAGGTTTTCTAACTATCTAAATTCTTCATTGTTTCATTTTAATATATTTATTTACGCTTCATCAAGATGAAAGCTTGACAATTAAAATATGAACAACTCATGAGCCAGTGCTTCCTGGAACTAACCAGTACTGGACTCTTATGAGGAAACATCGTCATTACATCAGATAGGCTTGAACCCATGATCCTGGAGTGAAGAGGCAAACAACTTAACCACTTGGCCACCACTCCCTTCTGCATCAATTAATCTCTTTGTCTCCTTTATTAAGAAATGCTAATTGAACCTACTGTAGGAAAAGACTTCCTTTGGATTTTGCTAATGATAATGATTAATTAAAGGCATATAACAGCCTGACTGTAAGCCTATAATATGTTCATTTATGCATAGTAAATCAATTTAGCTCAATATCATTTGCTATCAAATTTAAATATTTGGATGTAAAAATCCCTAAAAAATCAACAATTGACATGCAGTTATAAAACTGAATCCTGACAGGTCTAGTAGATAAATTAAGTAAGTTTACCAGATATAAGCAAGCTATACTTTGATTTTGTGTTTTCCTCTAAAAATGCAATTACCAGGGCTCTCGTTTGGTAAAATTTTCCACCGCGGTCGTAAAACTTTGAACTATTCTTGTATGATTATTCTAGGTTCAAACATAACATTTAAAGTGGAACCTATTTACTTGCTAGGTGCTTGCTCTTAAACTAGATCTGTGTTAATAATTATAACAAGAGAGTGTGTTTCTTCTCCCCCTAAACTCTCAGAGAAAATATGAGATCACCACTTGTAAATTTAAATATTCTAACGGGTATAAGAAAATGCCGATCAGCGAATATATATTCAGCAAAGCGTACACAGCCGGATAAATTAGTAACGTATTGATCGCGAACTTCAGAACTGAAACGGCAATCAGAATAAAATTTAGTCTACGTATAACTATATAGTAAATAAAAAAGACATTCAGACACAGTTTTAGCACTTACCCAAAATGTTCGCATTAATTGTGCGAAGTCTTACGGAGAAAAAAATATATCCCCTGTTGACTTGAAAATAATTTGAAATCAGCAAAATTCCCGGAACGCCGACTTGCATGGACCCTGGCCCAGTTCTCTAAAATGCTAACGAAGAGCCCTAGGCAATATGTTCTACTATAAAATACTTATAGGAGACTATAAAAAGTTAGAACTGCTCCTACTTCATTAACAACCACAGTATTTATTGAACATTTTTTAATGAATTTCCCTAATTTACTGTCATAAATGACGCTATATATTAATCTTAAGGAAATAACTATAATGTGCAATTTAGTGTTGTGTAACTACAATAAGATAACAATCATTTTGGCAACACCGATATCTACAAACCAACAAAAGTTAAATCATCAAGAAATCTTACTTCTTGTTACAACACACAGCGTAATTTTTAAGCACTATATTAAATTCCCAACAGTTAAACAGCATAAGCTTTTTCACTTGTAGAAACTTATCGACTGAGAATTTAAAAAAAAAAGTAAACACTCCCTAGTCTTTTAAGTGGTAGAATTTTAGTAGGCAACTACATCTCTACTTTGTGGATAAAGAAGTTATAGAATCTGGGTTTCTAGACAAAGCAAATTTTACTATCTTTTAAAGGATATTAAAACATACTAAATTTGGTCTCATTTTGAACCTCTGGCAATTGATACAATTTTATATGTTACAGATAATTTTCATAGATTAATCACCGTCTCTACGCATCGGTTTTAATTTCTTCTCTGTGCATCAAAACGCGCAAATACCAAGTCATTTGCTCAAAACTGAACAGAGTACTATGAAAATCGTTTGTTATTGCACACAAAAAGAATATTCATATCTGACAACAAATGTGCGTAGCTTGGTAAATACATAGAGTTTCGAATGATTCTGAAATCATATAGTTGGTGTAGCACAAGTCATAATAGTATCACACTATAATATTAATCATACCGAATGGTACGCGGTTACCAGGAAAATTGTTGTCGAATAACAAACAAGATAATGGCAAACATAAGTTGATGAGCACTTAATAATTAATGGATCTATCAACCCAACCGTAGAGCTGATAAAACTCTTCTGTCCTTATTTGGAACAAATCGCTGAAATTCTTTATTTATTATAGTCTTACTTCTCAACATTTTTTGGTTGACGATTTACTTTCGGCGTTTCTGCTTGCAAGTAAAATTAATCGGATAAATTTTTTTTTCTCACATCTCTGCTGACATAGAAAAATAATTATGCAACGCCAGATGGCTATGAAAAAACATTCCACGGCTGATCGATTATCACATGGGCAAGATCTGTTTAAAACACTTTAACAATCGAGGAAAGAATAAATTCTAACATGCAATATAAATGCAACCTGAAATTAGTATTAAAAAATTTGAACACATAAGTTTAATTTGCTCTGTAGGTTTATGTCCTAAACAAGAATTTAATAATACTGCCGACGAGCAAGGAGTTTGGTCGAGACACTACTATATTTACCATATGCCAACGGTACTAAACCTGACACAATGACTCTCTACTGTAATCAATCCCTAAGTTGTCTCGAGAGATTTCCATCATAAATCGCACTTTCATAAAAATAATCTCTATCAATGAGAATCATAACTATAATCGCAACAGATCTCATATGCGCCTTCTATTAATTGTACACAATAGCATTTAAAGGTCATGATTTTACAAAAAGGCACATACCAAATGTAATTAACGATGAAAATGCTTCGACTGCAGAAATTCTCCTCAATACCATTAGATTTTTCCCCTAGAGTACAGCTCCAATAATCAGAAAGTCTTTTTAATTGAATATGTTTCAATAGGTGTTGGAATGTATGGAGAACACCATTTAACTTTTTAAACAACCAAACGGTAACAAGAGGAAGTCAGTTTTGACTAGTCTTATTGTTAAAACAACTAATTAAATAATTTCATATGTTTGTCGGGATTCACGTGAATACCTACTAATCCGAAACATGGTAATCAGTCAACAATGATCTCTAAAAAGTAATCAACCACCCTCTGGAAGTACATGCTATGAGGAATGATCGGAGCGCAATTTTGTGCAAGCAAGTATTTCTGAGTAGGAGAAAGAGTAACAGCACTTTAACATCTCAGTCAATAGTGGTACTAAAAAGACCAAGATTTTTCTTTTATTAAAAATGATCATTTTGGTTATAGCAACTTACTTCATGATTTTTTTAGTAATTTAGGCGCAAAGTTTGTCTTATGTAAAATGTATAAAACAAGTTAGTGTTTGAAACTATTTTTTTGTCCAATAGGATTGCAGTATTTCAAATGAATCGTAACACATTTACTTTGGTTAATCGGAAATTTTGTGCAATCTTCTCTACACTGAGGTTCCATGTCTTGATAAATACGATCCCGATTTTTTTTTATGTTTTGTAATTAATTATTATTATTTAAAAAAGACAATTAAAATTTATTAGTATGGCATCTATTACGAAAATAAAAATGTGGAGCTATAAACAGTGACGATCATGTGCTGCGTAACCTTTAACCTATACCATATATTACTATGACGAAGTATTACAGCTATAAAACAAGTTGACAACGAGTAAATGATGATAATAAATTATATCAGTGTATAGTAGAACTTATTTAGTGATAATGATCCTTCATCTTATTGTTGCATCATATAAATTTCATAATCACAGGTGGAGATACTTTTGTCACATATCTGTATATTGAAAACTGAACTGATATTGGACTATATTTGGTAACTCCACAGTGTACATCATGCATTCATGATACAGAAAAGTTGCCACTCTGAATACCAATAAATGTTTCCTAAAATATGTGATATGTTCATTATTTATCTTCATCTACCAATATATATATTTCATCGGAAAAAGAGCGCGAGGAGAGGAATTCTGCTATTACTTCACATTTGCAATATAAAAAACCATAATCATTATATAAACTGTCCTCGACCATATTGTATCATTGTACATTTTTTGGAGTGTGTTAACTTTAATACTGAAATACAATGAATTCAGGATCCCCTGAGATTACTTAATAATTCCCAAAATCTTAACTAAAAATACTGAAGCCATGGTGGCACAGATGCAACGTATATGATACTAGAGATTTGTTTATCTTGTCATAAACATTTTATGGAGAATTTGGAATCCTTGTAACTTGAGGTATAGGCAAAACACGATTTAAAGTATAACAATTTTATGAAAGTAATTTCCATCCGCAGAAAGAACAGCTTTTAAATATAGGCCAACAATCTCCTGTTTTCCTAGGAATAATAATGTTTGTTTCATAAAAAAAAAAAAAAAACAAAATATATAAATATTTTTTTTATAGATATGGCGTAGTCTTTAACATTTAAAATTTCGTGGCTCAAGATCTGTAAGAAAAAATTTTATATAAATTAAATGAGCTATCGACTTAAACTGGTAACCCTTCTCAAATTTTATACTGTTCTTGACTTTATTAAGACACTACTTTGGTGCATATTAAAAATTGCTCTTTGAAAAGATTATTTAAATATGACAATTAAGCTAATTAACAAATTGAGGTACATAGGGTAAAATATATGACATTTAATCTAGTCGATGCCCGAAGCAGCAGTAATAAAATATACTCGCATCAGTTCTAATGTTTAGTCTGTTTCATTATAGAGCACACGCATAGGGTCCATAACAAGAATTAATACTCTCCATATTCACGTGCATCACATGTCTAACCATTCTTTTTTACCTGAAGAACTTTTAGTTAAGCTCAAGTCATAGAAATAGAAGAGTACACGTGATCTGAGAAAAGGTAGAAATGTGTCTTTAAAACGTGATTTTTACACGCGACATGGTAACAAAAACACATTGAATTTAATATACGGGTATTGAGACAAATGGGCTCATACAGTGATTTCGTTCTATCTACTATCTGATTGTGAGAGATGCCAGATCATGTGGCAGTGAGCATCAGGTTTAGTGAGATGAGGCACCATACTGTTATGAGGCTTTTTAAATTTGCTATGTCAGTGGTGATTTAAGGAAATAAATTATACTGGTGAGTCTCTTTGATGTTACCTTTATACCTACGATTAGCTGGGAAAACCACATTTTTGCACTGTAAATGGAATTTCACGAATACGAGCAAGAATCCTGTACTATTAAGTTGAAAGAAGCCATGAAGCTTAAAACATCATTTCAGATGATGTCAGTTTTTTTTTTTTCCATAATCCTGTTAGCTTCAATATAACTGGTACAGTGTGTAATGTCAAAATCTAGCTCATTTAGAAGTTCATAACATTATAATATTTCATGTCAAACACTCACCTATCTATTATTAAACCTATTACAGCACTTCCAATAACACCACCTATCTCAAACGTTGTGGAAAACATCCCTGCTTGGGCTTTTGAATATTGCAACTATTTAAAAAATCAAGATTAGTAAGTCCAAGTTCTTCAAACATACAATATACATGTATTATGTATCTACATAATTATGGTTTTTATCAAATATTACGAAACAATTAACAAATACATGTTAGTCATTATGCAGCTTTTTATTTTGTTTATCTTGTTTTTTTAAATCAATATTTGCATATTGACCATGTTTTATTGAAGCATGGAAGATTTATGATTAAGAGTTCAGCATCTTTTGAAGTATTCTAAGTAATCTTTGAATGATGATTCACACACTAAGTTGTTCTAGTCAGCTCACTAAGCTCAATAGGGAGAGCATCAGTTTGGTTATCCAGCGGTCGCTGGCTCGATCCTCGGCTCAGGCACAATTTCTCTCCGACAGTTGTGATCTAGCACATCGAGACAATTAATTATTTGAGCCGCGTCACGACAAAACCAACATAATGGGTTTGTGACCAGAATGGATCCAGACCAGCCTGCGCATCCGGGCAGTCTGATCAGGATCCATGCTGTTTGCTATCAGTTTCTCGACTTGTAAAAAGGCTGGTCGCAAACCCATTATGTTGGTTTTGTCGTGACTCGGCTCATTTGTCTTTCACTACCCAAGTTCTGTAAACTACCCAGATGGCTTTATCATCTATAACATGTTGAGGACTTACCTGATTTAAAAGATACATGGGTAGCCACATGTACATACAATATCTAACTGCTTTCAGACAGAAAACAGCCACAGCTACTTCAGCTAACATCCTAATAAGAAACACACAAAGTTTCCACTATATTCTTATCAAAAATACTTAAAATAACATTCTCACTGTCATCAGCGAGATATAATGTTTATCACTCACTGTAATCAATGAGAAGTACTTTCATCACTCACTGTTATCAATCAGATATACTTTTAATCATCCACTGTAATCAATGAAATATAGTTTTTTTCAGTTACTGTAATCAATGAGAAATACTATTTATCAATCACTGTTATCAATGAAATATAATTTATATCACTCACTGTTATCAATGAGATATCATTTTTTATCACTCACTGATATCAATGAGATGTAATGTTTTATCACTTACTGTTATCACTAGATATCATTTTTAGCACACATTAGTATCAATGAGATACATTTTATCACTCACTGTTACCAATTAAATATAATTTCCATTGCGTAATGAGTAAATTATTTTTATCATATCAGTCATTACAAATATAATCAAATTATGAAACTATTTAAAAGATTCTGCAAGGTTTGTATATAATAGTATAAGTTTTGAGAAAATTTACACAACTTAATCATTATAAACAATTCAATCCTGATAAAAAAATATCTGTACTTAAAAATTTCAACAAGAGCTGTCAGTTGGACACCCTGCTCAACTATTCTCAAGTGTTTGACATTAAAGACAAAATTCTGGATAATGTAGGAATAAAGAAAGAAGATTTCAAGCAAATCACTTTCAAACTACCACAGCACACTCTCCTGTAGAATGTTAGTAAAAACTTTGATTAAATTCTACAGAAAACTAGGGAAGAACTAGAAATAAATAGTTTATAACAAAACTATGAGGTCTAGCATAATTAGAGTTTATAATACAAACTATGAGGTCAAACATAATAATAGTTTATAACAGAAAACTATGAGTTTTAACATGTATTAGTACTCTGTTAGTTGCTACCACCAAATTATGAAAATTTGGTATCATCATTAATACATGTACTTAACACCATTTCAGCAACAAGTGCATTATATTTTGAATAAAATCAACAGGCAGAGCAAAAAAATATTAATAATTCTAGGTAAATTCTGAGTAAGCAAGACCAGTGACACAAATGTTGCAAGTTTTTGTGTCAAAAAAAACAAACAAACAAAACTTACCATAATAACAAACTAGGTATACTAGGTGCATTTAACTTTGGATACTAGGTGCATTTAACTTTAAAGGTAACCTACGATCAAGGTGGGGAAAAAATGGGAATACTAGGAAAAACTAGGAACTCTATGGTAACTTTGAACCCATGGTGACCTTGAACCCATGGTGACCTTGAACCCATGGTGACCTTGAACCCATGGTGACCTTGAAATACCTTGTACCCACAGCACAGCCTGCACAAACAATACACCTTGCACCCAATAATCCCTTGTTTTAGGGCAAACACCTTACTCACAGACCATTCTCCGCCCTTTTTTATACGAAACTTACGGGATTTTCCACAGCTGTATCCAGGATAATTTTGTATTGTTGTTAGATGATGATCCTTCAGCGCTTTTTATAGACTCTATAATATAACACACTGGACATTACCAAAATATGAAAGGGAAAAAATTCATTTCTGAAAAATAATTCATCAACATGTTTATTTCTGATACATAATCAACAACCATACCATATGAATATAGTCAATCAAATTATCACACTGCCAAGTTAACTTAATGTTTTAACAAGTTGCCTGTGGCAACCATTTATCACGGTTTGAAGCATATTTATATTTTGGCAGTTGTCTAACACTGTATCAATTCTTACTTTCTTAGAACCACATTTAAAAGCTAGTATGTCACATGATGTTTATTGCAAGATGTAATCACATGTATAGGAAAATTCAAATACAATGTACACTAAACATTAGGTGGCCTAAACCAGTATCGTAAACCTCCCCTTCCCATCCACTTAAAAAAATTGTACTTGATTTTCTCCATTTTTTCAATTCAATAACAGTCAATCTTGCCCATGCAACCAGTTGTATTCTTAGGAACCACTTTGATTTCCACTCAATCATTTTCTATTTATATCTTAAAAGCTTCAGACAACTTTTGCTTTATCTGTTGATTTAGTCGAACATCACCATATTGGTATCCTTGTTTTTTATCAAGTGTATGTTAATCATTTAAATTTTGAAAAGAATGCCACCTTATGCAAACATAAGGGTCAATGATGAATCATAAAGCATGTATGAAAGTCATGGAAATTCCCAAACCACTAGCATATGCAATTTAGATTAAGTATGTTATTTGTATTATCCAAAAGAATCCATAAATTACAATAATTCTCAACCTCCTAATGTATTGAAGCAGCTCTAGTTGGTATTTATTTTGTTTTGTTTTTTCATTTTGGCAACTTAAACAACATTTAACATATTAGCATATGATGCATATAATGGTCTCATTGGCCTCTCTTGCATCACTAAGTCATCATTCATATTGAATACCAAATAGAAAAGGAAAAAAAACAACACATATTTAGTCACATTCAGTGAATCACTGGATTCAAAATTAATAGGTCACCATTTGGCAACTTAATACTATCTAAGGACATGATTAGTGACATATCTGGGGTCTGAACTCTCAGTGCCTGGACAGGCGAATGGACCCTTATTAAACTTAGAATACACACACACATTTATTCTGCAGTGCTGATGCAGTGGCTGAATTGTGCTCTGCTATATACCATTTTGCTTACTGCCGCGATCCAGAGTGAATAATACCAATACCAACACCAGTGAAATTGACCTCCCCCTCTCCCGAAGGGGATACGATCAGTTATAATGTTATTGGCAAAGACTTTCTTTGTTTTAAGAAACCATTGTATTTAGCTGCCATTTTTTTGCAGCTCCCTTAAGCCCTCTCTTAATACAAGATTGACTATACCCTGTGCATGTATAACTTATAGATCACAATTATCTTAGGCATTTTTTAGGTTAAATTGACAAAATACATATTGCATGATTGTATACCAAGCATGTCACACATATTAAGGGAGTATTGCTTGAACGTGCTATTCTTTCTTTTTTGGTTGGGTTTTACATTGCACCAACACAGTATAGGTCATATGGCAACTTTCCAGCTTTACTGGTGGAGTAAAAAACCTACAGTGCCCCTTTGTGCATTATTTCAGGCACAACTGCACTTGAATAGAACCACCACAATCCCTAAGCTAGCTGGATAGTTTTCTCACATGAAAGATTCCAAAGATGCTGGCGCAGCTCAAACCTAGAGCGGTGAGAGGCAAGGGGTTTGAAGTTGATGACCTTAATCACTTGGCCACAGACACCCCAGTGTGCTATATTTCATTGGGTTGTTGATTAAGTTGTATTCCACCAAGTCTTGATGACAAGTGGGAAAATGGCTTTATGCAATCAACTAAATTAACACACTCATTCAATTTGCTTTTCATCATATATCTTACATAAAATTATATATACATGTATATATAAATAAGTAAAGCAGTTATTTTTAAAAGGCATAATAAGGTATAAGAATATAACATTAATAAATACATGTAATTATGTAACAACTCAAACAATTCAAAGTAATTAATATGGATGTATACATGTATATAATTATTTCTTCAGCTGAAAATGACCGAAATTTCATTGGAAAACTTTTACGTATAAACCGATAATAAATTATAATATCAATCTACTCCTTATTGTTGAGAAAGTTATTCAATTATACATAACTAAACTAGATAAATATGTTAAAAACAAGAATACCTTTCCCAACCACCTCAATGTTAACTTCATCTGGCTGCTGGAAAAACAGTAACACCACAAAACCTAAACCAAGCTGAAAATACAACATCATTTTGTTCATACAAGTATATAGAGTTTGTTGGGGATGGCAATAATCAATGTTCAGCAATATTTCAATGTTTTATCAGCTGAGTAGATATGTGCCAAATATTCATACAGTATATATAAGCAAGATAAATTAATATATTATATTTCAATATCATAATTTATACTAACTTTTTATTAATCTTAAACCACAATGTCAATACTAAACAGAAGGTTGGATTTTAAGTCACACAACCATGGAAAACCTTAGGTACCCCTATATCCATTACTTTAGGCACAATGTTGGCACCCAAGTAGAACCACTGACCTCCTTTAATCTAGCTGGATACAATGTAGCTCCCTACTCTGAGAGAATCCTGTCAATTGTGGGATTCAGACTCACAGCAGTGGGGAACATGGGAATTAAAGTCAGCACAGAATTCTTAGATTTTGAGAAAACATTTATATATAGTCATATAAAGCACCCTTTAAAGAGCTTTATTTTAGAATTCACTAATTCATTAATTTTATCTTGAATTAGTGCATTTTATCACTGTTAAGCCAGATAAAGCATCTTAAAAACCAGTGTACCAAGATAGGGGAACAAATCGTCCGCTTTACTAATCTCAATATAGAGTGCGGACCAGTAGATAAGCTGTATCGAGGGGTTTCCTTATTGTTTTTGTATTTTTATCGTTGGCAATTTTCATTTTCCACTTAATTCTTTTGATTTGACAACTATATGAAATGATTTATCTAAACAAATAACATATTTAACCTTTTGAAAAGCTGAAGGCCGATAAATTTAAGATATAAATTAGTAACATTAATTAATCAAAGAAACAAAAAAACTCACAACTAATAACGACGGTGTCAGAAATGCACTTCTCCAGCCATATGATGTTTGAAGCCATACCTGTAATTTAAACGAAATTTTTTAGTATTTAAAATTAATTTATCAAATGATTATTTAAAGTAAATTTCAACAAAACCTCATTTAAAACTGTAAGTTACTAACATTTATACACACACATCTATGCCATGCAATCATGGTGTGCAATGTTCTTTATTCAATCAGTATACACTATTTAGTCAGTACACATTTTGAAATTTTCACTAAAAAAGATGAATGGTTCTGTCCAGATTAGAAGATAAGATGAAAAAGTTCATTTAAGATATTTAGAGTGGTCAAGGATAAATATTAGTTTTAAAAGGGACTTGATTATGCCTCTAATAGAAAGTCTAATAGAAAGTCCAGCCTGTAAATCCATTTAGTCCAATTCCCTATTCTGTTGCCTGATCAATTATAGTTTTCTGTCTCTATTTAAAATGAATTGGTCTACAATGGGCACATTTTCCACAAATATTTCAAATACTGATAAAAACAATAGAAATGTATCATTTGGATAATCTAATGAAATATTTCTGGCAAAGAAAATGTTGAAAGAGTTCTAAAGTGATTTATTATGGACATACATGTATATATGAGTAATAACATCTAGAACTCTTCAAAATATATATGTTTTTTGTTTTGGGTTTTATGTCACATCGACACAGTATAGGTCGAATTAGTAACGATTCGCCACACTAACGATTCGCCACATAACGATTCGCCACAGAGTAATAACGATTCGCCACAGTTAAATAACGATTCGCCACAGTATGATTATAACCATGATTTTTTAGTAATCAACAAACTTTTTCCTTTTGTTTTAATAATTTGACAATGACAATAATTTAATAATGTTTCTTAATACAAGTAATATGAAGTTAAGGCCCCCATCGCGGATTTTCAATTTATCAAAGTAACATTATTACAGGAGTACATTAACAAGAAAGTAATTATATGTTGAAATAATTATTGAATTACTCATAAACATAATTATATGTCAATTAATAATTATATATAAATATATAGTTCATATATTATAATATATGTCAAATATTTAAACAAAGTATTGCAAAAACATGTGTTCATACGAAAATTGATTTACGATAATTGATTAAAGAACGCATATGTAAAACATTTGTCACACCTTTAATTTAAACAAGCCAATCACCTTAGGATTGTTGTAGAAATATTTAATTGACGCCGAAATAATCCTTTAATTATCTGACAATGTATTCAGATTTCAAAACAATGCGGCAATTAAGCTTATGTTTGTTTACAAATTAATTTGAGCGAGCCGATATATGCCGATTAAGAGGGTTTAAATAGCTTAAACACATACATAAAATAGTATACAAACGAAAAATAACGAAATCAGAATCATCTTTTAAGTTGAATTGATTTATGTCACATAAAACAGAAAGGCTGCCAAAAATGTTCTCGGCTAATTATCCATTGTTTAGTAGTCTTTGAGACCACATTTATTTCGTAGACCATATGCATCTATGACATTTGAAATTTTATTTCCAGTACATTATTAAATGACATTAAAACAATAATATAAATAAATAAAGATAAAATACCCACATAAATTTGTAGACATTTTTTTTATCTATTTTTATAACTTTAGCCATTACAATTTAATACCTTCAAATTGATTCAATGTCTAGAAAAAGAAAGCTGTAGACGCAAACGGGATTAGTTAACTTTCAAATCCTTTAGAATGCTGGAAAAATCTTTCAAGATTTTTTTTCATGAAATTCAAAAGATGGTCAAATTCAAATTCCTTCCAAAAGTTCGCAATAGTAATATTTATGTTGTAATGCGCTTTACACGTTCTGTTTGTATTCGTAAGAAGTTCTTCTAATTGTAGGTATGGCTATAACTTAAGTAGGCAATGAAAACATCTACTAGAAAAGACCTTAAAGGTAGTAGAAGGCATGACTTATCCATTTAAAAAATGTCATATTTAAAGATTGTCCGTGTACAAAACATTACAAACATAATGGCATTTAAATATATTCAGAAATTCAAAGACAAATTACACGTATATTTTTCCAGTTTATATAAATAACGAAGTTATAAAATGTGTTATGTAATTTTGTTAATAAAATATTTGGTTTTCGTGTGTTTTTATTCAATAAAATGTGTATTTAGTGTAATTAATTTATGTAATTAACAAATGAAATATAAAATGGAAAAAAGTTTTCCATCAACAGTTTGAAAACAGATGTGAAAAAGATTTGTATTTGAACACGTGGCGAATCGTTATTTAACTGTGGCGAATCGTTATTACTCTGTGTCGAATCGTTATGTGGCGAATCGTTAGTGTGGCGAATCGTTACATTACCTAAAGGTCATATCGCGACGTTCCAGCTTTACTGGTGGAGGAAGACCTCAGGTGCCTTCCGTGCATTATTTCAGGCTCGAACGGTACCTGAGTAGAACCACTGACGTTCCGTAAGCTAGCTGGATAGCTTCCTCACATGAAAGAATCCAAAGTCCCTGTAGGGATTCGAACCCACAGTGGTGAGGGGCAAGTGGTTTGAAGTCAAAGACCTTAACCACTCGGCCACGGACGCCCCTTAATATATATGTATGTAAACACTTAATACCAACAACATCCATATATAATTTTTATATTGTTAGATTGTTATAGTGATACTTAATACTATCAACATAATTATTTATAGTATTAGAGATATTCCATTATAAACCAAGTCACTTAACCCCTTAAGTCAGATAATGGACAGTTCCAAATTAAAATAAATAATACCAATTTAGCAGTGCAATGGTTAATAATTTAATCATATAATTGTTAAATTAAGACAATTAACATAATTAAGAAAGTTGAAAGAAACCTTATACAACTTACAGCAAGGGCTGTTCCAATAATTCCACCTGAAAATGCACATGTTCCAAACATTCCAGCCACAGAGTTTCTTACTTTATCAGAATACCATGATCCCAATGCCTTCATACAGTTGGGCCAGCACTGTGCCTGTATTATAAACACAGCAAAATAATTGACAGAGAAAAACATTTTGTGTTGTGTCACCAATGATAAAATGTTATTGAAAAGTACAATGTAACAATTTCAAATATGTGAAAGAGTAAGTCCGTAAGCACAAATGAAACTGACAAAAATTTATTTGTACATGTACATATTGTCAAAATTCATATCATGATGAAACAAATGAATTGTTTGTATTTTATTAAAATTTGTGATGAACCATCATTATTCAGTAATGAACCTACACAAACATAATATCCTATTTATCACATACCCCCAAATAAATACTGTTTAAAGCGCAAAAGAATCAATTTTCATTTCCGGTTGTCAAAAATTAAAATAAAGTAAATTGTGTAAATGACTACCAAACTTCAACTAACGGAAGCCATGGTATGTAACTGTACATGTATTTTCATAATTCTAAAGTAAGACAAGAGGGTCCAGAGGGCCCTGGATTGCTCACCTGAGAAATAGGTCAAAAGGTCAAAGTGGAGCCCCTTTCCACCCCAGAAGCACAATTTGAAAACAAGGAACAGCTTAATCTGAACAATTTTTGTGACAATTTTTCCACAAGAAGATTTTTTAAGTTTTTACTAGAATCAATGACCCCTAGGGCTGGGCCAATTTTGACCCTAGGGCTTTCATTTGAATAAACTTGGTGGACGTCCATTAGAAGATGTTTTATGCCAAATATCTAAGCTCTTTTGGATTTTCAAAAGAAAATTGTTTAAGTTTTTACTATATACATGTATACATTATACAAGGAAAATCAATGATCCCCTGGGGCGGGGTCAATTTTGACCCTAGGGCTTTTATTTAAACAAACTTGTTAAACATTCATTAGAAAATGTTTCATGCTAAATATCTAAGCTCTATCTTTCTTGGTTTTTTACAAGAAAATTTTTAAGATTTTTGTAAAAAAAATCTTTCGGTTGCCATGGCAACCAGAGTTCTTTGTGGAATTTATTTCTTTGAACAATTTTGATAGAGCATCATGCAAGGAACATCCCTGCAAAGTTTCAACAAATTTGGCCAAGTGCTTTAGGAGGAATTGTTGATGCATGGACAAACACATGGATGACGGACAATGAGCTATCACAAAAGCTCACCTTGAGGACATTGTCCTCAGGTGGGCTAAAAAACTGATCACTAGTTGGCTTATACGATAAGTCCTTTACCTGAGCAGATCCATTCAGGAATAACAGCAGACTAAACATGTAAAAATTACTCCACATTCCAAATGATGCCTAAAATTACATATTACATAACAGTTTATCACTATGATAATGATAACAGTATACAATAAAACAATGTGAGTATATAAAAAACACATAGATTCGTGGGTAACAGTAAAAATATCATCCTGAGGAAAATACTGTTACCCAAGGTGTTAGCCTTTGTGGTTAATTTCAAAAATAAGGGGCTTAACTGAGAAAACAATGGCGGCCATTTTTTTTTTTAGAAAATAAGCCATTTGAACAAATTTCAGTCTGTTAAAAAGTACTGTTACCTTTGTTACAGTACAAATTTCTTAGTCAAGTGGTACACTTGCATTAACACTCACAGTGAAAATAACTCCCAGTGGCCTATTGGAAATTAACATTACACAAAAAGTGAAGGGTAATAATAATTATGTGACAATGATTATAAAGCTTATTTGTCTATCAAATATAATTTATTCATTTTAAATTGATTATTCAAACAACATGATATGACCTAATTTTCAACCATTAAATTAAAGGGAAAGAGAGATGGACAAGTCTATTTTTGATATTCAGTGTTGTAAGGGTTAAGATATAATATTGATACATACCATAGATATACCTGATAATATCATACATAATCCAAATGTTTTTCTTGGCCCAAACCTATCTCCACATGTTCCAAGTAACATCTAAAATGAGTTAAATCATTACATTAACATATTTATAGATTTTGCGACTTCAACACATTGGTTTTCAAATGCCAAAACTATATTCCCAAAAATGGATTTTTTGAAAAAGCAACACAACAAGGGATTTTTATTTTTATTTGGGGCTTAGAACATAATCATTTATGAAAGAAATCTTTCTTTTTGCACAGTAAAAAATAACACTGGCAATTTAATTAATAAATGCTTATTAACTGCATTTCTTAAAAAATTTTTTTTTTACAGATTAATAATATCTGTTACTTGTTGCAGTTCGAAATTACAACTTCATTCATAACGGCGAAATAACATCATACTAAGCATGCCATTGTATAGCACATGACTCATCTGCCAGATGAAATTTTGGACATGGGTTAAACTAACGGAATCACCCGTCTGATAAACAAGAAATAATAATGACCAATTTCTCAGTGCCGTACAATAATGCTTTGAAAATGTGTATAAAAAAATAAATAAAGCCTTTAAAATTAGTCAATTCCTGGCACATCTGATCATCCTACCTGCATTACTGCATAAGGGAGTAACAGTGCTGTGTCCAACAATCCTAGCTGTGTTTTACTGAATTTCAGGTCATTTTCTAGGTCTGTCTTTACCTGTAATAGGTGATCATTATATCAGCATGCCAAATAATACGTCTTAGTTACATCCATAATTTTTCTATAAGTATCATTTTTTGAAATTAATAAGATTAATCAAGTCAATTTTACTACAACCTATGTAAAAGTAAGTTTGCTATTAAAGCCAATAACATAAATCAACAACTTAAATTTATAAATTAATTATGTTGAACTTGATGTTTGAATGAAAAAGAGAATTAATACTTTGACAATGTTAAGCAATATTTTTTTTCATTTTGGAAAAGAGTCATAAATATATTGACAGTGAGATAGCAAAACTTGGATTTTTAAAGATATACTATGCTAATCTATGGATAGATTTACGAATGATCACATCAATAATGAATTTCAACATGATAAAGGAGTATATCAAGTCACCATACACTAAATTACTAACAATTCAGAGTTTTTCCTCTCTAAATTGAGGAAAGGACTTTATAATAGCTTCTTTACAGAAAAATTCTATTGTAATGAGGCCATATACATGTATAGCCCTCTACAATATAAGTGGAAAAAAACACTTGATAATGTTAATATTTTTTCAACTTACAACTCCTAAAGGTTTCCTCAAGCAGTATGTTGAAGCATAAGCAAACCATCCAATGGCAAATATCAAAATCTGCCGTCTTTGTAAGGGATTACAATCAATCTTCATTTTGAGTCAGTAGCATTTGCAATTTTAAATCTGAAACAAAAAATACAACAAACATTCAGCGACATTAATATAGAAGAGGTTCAGGTATCCATTATGATTATACATCAGGGTTTTCAATTGGTTCAATGCACTGGATATAATACATGACATGATGTTAATTTACAATTAGGGCTGATAATTTTCAATAGTTCAAAATACTTATTTACTAAACTTAAGAGAAAGCACATTGTAAAATGCACAATAGAACATTAAAGTGACTTGCATAAAAACTTAAAGGCTTCAGGACTTTGACTTGTACTAGTATATCAACTTCAGGGTTCGAATTTTAGCTGGCATACTGTTAAAATCTAATAATGCCAGAAAAAATTACTCTAGCGATACAAGATGTTGACAAAAATTAAACTATACTGTGAAGGTACCAAAATCATTGGACAATTAATCTGTCAACTTCACTAAATTACCGATATATATAATTCTGTTTACATATGCCAGACTTTTGCTGAAATTTACCCTCTCATTTTGCTAGTATATAGTCTGTATGGAAAGTTTAAATAGCAAAATCCATTGAATACATGTATAACAATATTTATGTTTTCATTTTGATTGTGGTGAAAAAAGATAACTTCACTTTGTTGATAATATAATTTTCTTTTTGTACACAAATTTTAATTTTTGACCGCTGACACTTATCAAGTGAGTCAAAATGCTATACCAATCAGGTTTTTTTCGGTCCAGTAAAATCATGTTTGGTCCAGTAAAAATTTTCAGTTTACAGGACCTACTGTCCAGTAAAACTCAGAAGTCTTTTGCATAGACTGGGGTCCAATGTAAATGCGTAGCACTTCTCTTTAAAGTATTTACATTTAAGCTGAAATTTGTATTTAATTTAAGTACCTCTGAGTTTTTAGGCTGTTGGTGTAATCAAATACAAAATATGCTAAATTTAATGAAGGTCCTAAAAAATTACAGTGCATGAACAAGTTTATACAAGTACATTGTCACCAGTGGGTGTTCCTCTGGTATATCTTATCTGATCCCTATACAAATATTTATCATTTCATAAATTAATGTGTTGAAATGTTTTTGTTTCGTTACAAGAAGACATCTGTGTTTACTAGTGATAAAGATGTTTCTGATATTTAATAGATATTCAAGCTTAATTTCATTTGTCATGCCAGATGTTCAAAATACATTGTCATTGTGTATTATAATAACAAGATACTTGATCATGGGGAAATGCCAGTTGACTACCTCATATTGCTAGTTAAACATTTGATCACGTGCAAAAATCTGCAAGTAGAAAATCTTGCTAAATTCTAACCCTGTCAACCTCAATTAAATGACCAAATTTTAGAGCTATAATTGATGCAGTGCAATGTATATGAATGGCATATCAATATCGGATGACAAATAACAACAAATCGATACACCCATATATTGATAATTACCTTTAATTACTTGTCTGTCATTCACTTTCATACCTGTTTAAATGATTTCAGTGAAATACATTTTCTGTTCTGTGTGTTGTTTATAAATGCCCATTACATGTTTTTTCCTGACCATATTGTTAAGAAAGTATCAAATATTTCCATTAAGTAACAAGAGCATAGTGTTAGACATGGACATGTGCTACTGTATATGTTTCGGGTGATCATTCATAATTTCTAATTAATCAATCAATCAGTCTGTCAAAATTATCAATTTTTTAAATGTGTATTGATTGACAGAAAGATATCAAGGACTGGATACATTGATACTGTTTTTATCAATGAAAGCTCTAAAAAAATTTGACCTGTCAATCAGTGTCAATACAATGATTAACAAAGGTGTAAGGAACTCCACTGTATTTTGCTTTGAGTGATCAAAGTCTATTTTACAACTAACTTTATTATTACACAATGTCAATTTGCATCTTTTTTAAAAATTTAGTTTATCCAGGGTCTTTCAATTCTATTTGAAAGACCCTGGTTTATCACAAATTAGGAACATTAAAAAGTTCCACAAGGCCAAGAGATAGAATTTTTTTCTTCTGAGTTATATCTGTTGGGAACAAGATATTGAATTTTTGTTTTTTATTCTCAGTTATAGCCCGGGGTTCTATGATATCACGGTACTAAACATTTATCAGAAAATATTTAAATATAAATATCATAAATTAATGAGATTTTTCTTCCATCTTATAATTGAACCTTTTCCTGAACTGTTTGTCAAAAAATTATTTCAAAAGAACCAATAAAAATGACATTTTTTAGAATATTTTCAATGTCTGCCATTTTGGGTAATTTCAGAGGAGGTTACTACGGTATCAAGGTAATCCCCAAAAAAGCAAGAATGATAGGATAGATGGGTCAAAACTTTCAAGTTAAGTTGTGAAAAACTTCCAACACTTAACTTGCTATAAAATTAAAACTATATGAACAGACTATATGTCAGTATATGTGTTTATAACATATTTTAATTGACTGTGTAAAAAGGTATCCGGACAATTCCCCTCCCGGACGATTCCCCTCCCAGTAAATTTGAATGTTTTTTCACAACCCGGACATTTCCCCTCCCGTTATTTTTTTACGGCGGACAATTCCCCTCCTGTTAATTTTACAGGGCGGACAATTCCCCTCACGTTATTTTAGCAGAGCGGACAATTCCCCTCCTGCTGTTGTCAGAGCGGACAATTTCCCTCCCGTGGCTGTTGAACATATATATGTTATAATATTGTTTATTTTAAAGGCAAAACATGTCGATTTTTTGTAGCTTATTGTGAAGTTGCAGTACATGAAAAACGGGCACATGACAAATCAGCACATAAATAAAACATTATAGTGTTCCGTGGTATACATCTTTTCTACGTGTCATACTTCCTTTCCTTATTACAATGAAATTTTACTTGATTGTTATCCATCGCTGATTTGTTTTTAGCAGAGAATGACCTGTGCATGTTCAAAGAGGGTACCGTTAACGTTTGAGCAGATTTCGCAAAGAGGGTACCGATATGGATCTGCACCGTGATTTCTGCAGCGGTAAAATAATTGTAAATAATTGGTTTTGCAATCAAGGACACATTTAATTAAGGGCATCATTGATTAAAGATTTTTTATTGACAGTTTGTTTATCTTAAGCAGCGGCGGCAATGATTAAAGGCGGTATAATGTCACCTTTTGTGAAATAATGCTTCTTAAAAGTTCCGATCTTTAACAGTTTGTTGTTAAGAGTAAAAACTGTCATAAGAATGGTTATAGATTTTTTTTATACACAGTGGCGGTTATGATTAAGGGCAGTATAATGTCACGTTCCGCTCTGTGAAAAAAACGGGAGGGGAATTGTCCGCTCTGCTAAAATAACGGGAGGGGAATTGTCCGTCCTGTAAAATTAACGGGAGGGGAAAAGTCCACCCTATTGAAATAACGAGAGGGGAAATGTCCGGGTTGTGAAAATAATATGGAAGGGGAATCGTCCGGGAGGGGGATTGTCCGGGATTCGTGTAAAAACCATCAAGGAAAATGGTAGTCAAATATGAAGTTTTTATAAAATAGTTTCTTGCCACAAATACATTCATTATTCACCAAATTAAACTTATATGCAGATGAAAATGAATCTAGTGTGCAAGTTTTACAAATATTAGCATCATCATGTGCTGCTTTTACTAGCAGTCACAGAAAATTTAAATACCTTGATATCATAGAACCCTTGATATCATAGGAACCGAGTATATCTTGTGGGAACAAGTCTTTTTACAAGATAGCATTTTCTTTTTTTTTCTTAGTTATTATCTCGTGGCTGCGAGATAGTATTTTATTTGCTTTTGATTTATATTTCGCGGCCACAAGATAGGACAAGAAAAAAATCGGAATGTCCCCAGGGCCTTTTCACTAGTTTTGGGGAAGGCGCCCTAGCCCTTTTGTGGGGAAAAAATGCGTGATTTTCACACTTTTGGGGAAAATATCATATTTCCACACATTTCGGGGGAAATATCATAATTTATTTGCATATCTTCCTCCAGTCACATTTAAGGTTTACTATTGTACTAAGCTTTCTGTCCAACAGGAGTAAAAAACATTTTTTACAGATCAATTTATTGCCCCTTTATATTAACTTTATATTTCCTATTTATAGTATTTTACATTGGTCATGTGAGGGTTCTTGGTTTGATTCAGAGGGTACATTATTATCAGTTTACACTGTATTACTGGCACTGATGTGCTAGGCTCGCTATTTCAGACAGTTGGGCATATTGTGCTACTCGGACACATGGGCTTGCACTAACAAGGTCATCAATTCATCCAATTTTTAATAAACAATTACAAACGTCACTCAATCGTATTTATTTCTTGTTCTGTGACATTGTTTATATTAGTGACATCGTATTGGTCGCCATATTGTCGTAACAAATCACATGTGTACTAAAACATAAGGCAGCAGGCATTTCCCATGCTGTTTTTAGAAAGTTGCAAACTCAGACTGAGGCTCTGAGTTTACATCAATTGTATTAAATCAAGGTATCCCTCTATTGGGTTTTTGAATTATTAGCTTTCATTGGACAAAACAATTATCTATTTATAAACAAGAAAGTTTGTTAACAAGTTTTATTCTTCAGTTAAAGAGGAAATATTTGCCAGAAGGGGAATTTTAGACTGTTTTTTGGGGAAAAAAGGTTGTAATTTGGCTTGGGGAAGTAGCCTGATACAGGCTACAGCAAAGAAGGGTAAAAAGGCCCTTCCCCTCTGTGCTTCCGTACGATTCTCTTATTTGTATCCGAAAATATGTACAACCGGTTACTAAAACATTATGAACGATTATTGAATTGCTGTAAAATATCATTAGTTTTGTAAATATATTTAGGAAATAAATTACATTAATAATAATTTATAAATAAAACATGTTTTGAAATACCTTAAATCATCTGAAATCACAAAATATCAAAAAATAATACGTGAGCTGACAAGTGAGCTGATCGGTGCTGTATATTTTTCACTTTGTCGTGAAGGTTACTACACAACAACCTTGCCCTTAGAGAGTGTGGTCCTTGCATGGTAAAGGCGTTTTTTGCAAATATTTGCACTGTCTATCGTTGAAAAACCAATGTCACTTTATGGATATGTAACATTGATCTTTTAAGTTTCAAAATATCAAGTAAGTTTCATTAGATTTACTCGTTTTGTCCTCTGGTTTTACAGTAATTCTTAACAGTTAAGGCGTAACAGAACTAAATTTATCTTTTTAAGAGCTTTTACTCCATTGTATACGCGCCGGTCTCAAATATCGACCTGTGTCTTACGACGCATTACTCACCCCAAATGAGGGTAAAAATGACTCCGACAGAAAGAAGTCCGCGTAGGGATGACAATCTTATTACACAAACCACAATATATCTTTTCAAGTGATTAAAATCGTTTATTGCTTTCAATGGATCACTGTTTCCCAGAGTTTAATATTGCAAGTGCAATATTGATAGTTCCAATTCAAATATTCAAAACTACTTTCACTTTCGGTTTTAATTTAAACTAACAATCGACGAAATACTATCACGGGTGTTGAACGAAACTGGGTTAATAAAACCAATAAAGGATTGTCAGAAGAGTGTTTGGTGCATGTTGAGTAAAAATGATGTAATGGCTATTATGCCAACAGAGTATGGAAAAAGTTTAATTTTTCAACTGGCCCCATTTTCGATTTGTTCTATCACTTCGGTGTTCAAGCCGCCATGTAAAAAGTAGTGCGTTCCCATCATGCTTAGCGTGGATTCACACAGGTCAGTAAGACCGGTGTACACAATGGCTTTTACTCTGTTAAATATTCATGTCTTGAATTATGAGTTGTATATCCTTTGATTTTTTTACATCAAAAATATATCATTCAAACAGTTTGATGTCGCAGACACAGGGACCCAGCACAGCGTTGGGATAGTGTAAAAAAGTAATTATAGAAAAAAAATTATACTCGGTGATTTTTCTCACTTAATTGAGAAGAGGCCTTAGCCACATGATTTGGGAAAATTTATCATTAAAATTGCTGCTTTGGGAAGTATGAAAGCAGGTTAAAGTTCAGTTTCTTGGGAAAACTGCACAATTTTAAAGAAAATTTCAATTTAGAAGAGGCCTTTTATCGGATCGAGTTTGTTATATAAGCAGGGAAATCACTGATACTGTATATATATAATATATAGAATAATCTACTAAATGACACAGAATAATCTATGTGACACAGAGTAATCTATGTGACACAGAATAATCTGCTATATGACACAGAAAAAATCTGCTATATGACACAGAGCAATCTGCTATATGACACAGAATAATCTGATATATGACACAGAATAATTTGCTATATGACACAGAGTAATCTGCTATATGACACAGAATAATCTGATATATGACACAGAATAATCTGCTGTATGACACAGAATAATCTGTTATATGACACAGAGTTATCTGCTATATGACACAGAATAATCTGCTATTTGACACAGAATAATCTGCTATTTGACACAGAATAATCTGTTATATGACACAGAATAATCTGCTGTATGACACAGCATAATCTGCTATATGACACAAAATAATCTGTTATATGACACAGTATAATCTGCAGTATGACACAGAATAATCTGCTATATTACACAGAATAATCTGCTATTTGACACAGAATAATCTGTTATATGACACAGAATAATCTACTATATGACACAGAATAATCTACTATATGACACAGAATAATCTGCTATATTACACAGAATAATCTGATATATGTCACAGAATAACAGAATAATCTACTATATGACACAGAATAATCTGCTATATTACACAGAATAATCTGATATATGTCACAGAATAACAGAATAATCTACTATATGACACAGAATAATCTGCTACAGAATAACAGAATAATCTGATTTATGACACAGAATAATCTGCTATATTACACAGAATAATCTGATATATGACACAGAACAATCTGCTGTATGACACAGAACAATCTGCAATTTGATACAGCTACAAAATGTTTTGCATGAACTGATGAATGTATTGTAATGAGTCAGTTTTGCCCAATTTGTAAACACTAGCCACATTACATGATGGGCAGAGGTCTCATGACTCTAAAATCAACAAGCATCAACTTTCTTCTTACATCCTTTTACAATATTAACATTTTTCTGTTTCATTTAAAAAAAAAGAAATTGTTAAGTGTTTGTGCATTCATTTGAATCTATATGGCCCAAACGTAATGTAATTGTATTTAGCTAAAAACATAGCCCAGTTGACACCTACACATTTTTCATAAATAATACTCCCTAATATGGCTACTGCTCTGGTGGTCACTCAATATGGAAAAACATTAATTCAATTACACTACTGTACATGACCAAGAGATATCACTTTAAGGTCATTAAGAATTTCCTTGGTGTAAATTTCTGAGTCACAGTTTTCATCATATAAATAATGTCAAAAGGAAATGTAGATTTGTTTTTTTTTCTTTCATTGCAGATAATCCCTGTGTGAACAAAAGCTATGGAGGCGAATTTTCTACTGAACAAATTAAAGGTTGTTGGACAGCTTAAGCAATGTCTTAACATTCCTAAACAGACATGCGAAAGACATTTACATACACTCATAAATGATGGCAGATATAGATCTGGTCAAAGTTGGTGCAAATACCGCTATAACCGGAAGACTTTGTTATCACATAACTGGAATTATTTAGCCGCATCAGGTGTTCCGGTGTATCTAATGCGGGACAGATTCTCGGAGCACCAGCACAGAGACATTTACCATTTATGTGATAAAAATAGATTACAGAAATACAACAAAAGACTTGGACACGGGTTATTTTTACCTGCTTCAAATGTTTCGATACAGCACAGACCAGTTTCCTTTGGTACCAAAGCCATTCTAGATGCGTCCCCACCTAAAGTACAGCCATACTTAAGACTACTACGATTTGATAAACCAATAGGTAAGATGAGCCCAGTAATGACATGTATATGTTTGTTAAAATCACAATTATTTTCTTATATCAAATGCTAGGCAAATTATTATTTCTGTTATAAGAGATTACTTGCAAGCTTACTTTTCTGAGACAGTTTTGTAGAAAATAAACATTTTGTTTAAAGTCCTTTAGTAAAGAAATCTTTTTAAGGTATACATTTGAATGTTTTTAAAAATATTGTACTAAGATATATTTTTTGTTTTCACTAGGGACATACCTTTTATTCTGGCCATGTACATGGAGTATTGGACTAGCGGCACAAGCAGGTCATTTACCTGATTTGTACCTGCTGGCTCTGTTTGGTCTTGGATCTTTAATCATGCGAGGATCTGGATGTATTATAAATGACATGTGGGACAGAGATATTGATAAAAAGGTAAACTATTAGAAATTTGACTCTTGTTTTTCCTTTCTTTCTTAAATGTGATGTTATGAGCAGAAAGTAAGTTTCAAATGGTATAAATGCCTTTTTTCCCCCCCAAAAAAACAGGAAAGCTATTCCCATTGCTATATTACGAAAAGTTTATTTAATTGAATCATATATTGTCAACTTAGTGTAGTAACAGGTTAACTCAGAATAACTCCTATTAAATTAACAGCTGTAAGGCCATTTCTGTATTAAGGTGAAGATCTGTAAAAACCAACTGCAATTAATCTTCTCAGACTGGATGCCAGGATATGTTGGTTTGACAATCAATCTTTATATGAAAAGAATATGTATAGTAACACTGCCTCATATATTAAACAATTGTTGGCTTGGAACTGACAACCATTTTTGGTGTATTGACAGGTGCCATTGATCATTTTAACCTTGAAATGGAGAGTAAGTAGCCTTGGTCACCAGTATAGAATCATGCCAACCTGCATTTATTTGTAGTGTAACCAGGCTCTATAATGTTGGGAGCTCAGATTTTATATTTTGATATTGAAATCCCGTAGACTTTAAATGGAATGTTTGATTGTGTTTTACGTTGCACTAACACAGTTTAGGTCATATGATGAGTTTTCAGCTTTACTGATGGAGGAAGACCTTGGGTGCCATTCCGTTCATTATTTTATGCACAAATCGGCACCTGAGTAGAACCACCGACATTCCGTTAGCTAGCCGGATAGCTTCCTCACATGAAAGATTCCAAAGTTTTTGTAAGGATTCAAACCTACAGCGGTAAAGGGGAAGAACTTTGAAGTCAACATTCTTAATCACTTGGCCAAGGACGTCCCCCTTGACTGTTTCAGCAGATAATTTTAAGAAATTTATACAAAAGCGTTACAAGTTTTATGATTTTAAAATTTTCAGGTTGAAAGAACAAAAACACGGCCATTGGCAAGTGGAGAGCTCACACCATTCCAGGCACTGGTATTTCTTGGAGGGAACCTTTCTTTAGCTTTGGCAATATTGTTACAACTAAACTGGAACAGGTAATTCTTGCTTCTCTTATGTCACTTATACACTGTTTCTTCACTTTAGACCATAACATACTTAATAAATTGATTGGATAATTCTTATTAGCTTCACTATTCGATATCAATAAATGGAGCTATATTAGTCACCTGAGCGTCAGCATCGGCATAACCACTAGGTTTTTGTAATACCTCAAATATTTTCAAAGTCCATTGACATATGGCTTGATCCTGCCAAGGACTATAAATTATTCTATTTGACTAAGTCAACCAGCTAGCTTATAAAAGGTCAGTAGTTCTACACAGGAACTTGTTTTTGCCTGAAATACAGCACAGAGGTATATGTCAGTGATTTTCCTGCTTATATAACAGACTCTGATAAAGGGGCCTCTTCCCAATTGAAATTTTCTTTAAAAACATGCAGTTTTCCCAAAACTCTGAACTTCAACCTGCTATTTTACTTTCCAAATTAACAATATTAGGGATAATTTTTCCCAAAATCTTTTTCCCAAAATCAAGAGGCTAAGGCATCTTCCCAATTAAGTGAGAAAAATCACTGTATGTAGCCGGAGTTGTTCCTTTAAAACCAGAAAGTTCCATTTGACCTTTTCATTATTAATATGGATTTAAAGCTTACCAGAACAAAGAAATAAAACTGAAGTGGTTGGTTGTGAAATAGCTTGGGAATTTTAAGATACATATAAAATACTCCTGAAGGACAGACTGACAGTCTTCTTGGGATGTTTCTAAATCAAAAGTTTTGCCAACTTCATGACATTGTCAAAAAGTTGAATTGTGCTTAAAGCCAGTGCTAAAGGGCATGGACAGTATTAACTTGCATTAACCCCTCCTGTCTATGGACAGGCTCAATAAAACCGAGCCTGTATTATTTTGAATTGTACCATTTTGGGAATTCATGTTTTGGGCATTCTTTAAAATTTACTTTTTTGACCATTTGAAAGTATATGTATTAGAAACAATTGATGATATTTACTGTTTATTTTAGTGTTTTCCTTGGGGCAGCATCTATGATCCTAGTTATAGCTTATCCCCTCGCCAAACGCTATACATACTGGCCACAAGTTGTTCTAGGTATGTATTTCAAAGTTTATTTTTCAAGTTGAATTTCTCCATTCCTTCGTGCTGTTAATTCTATGTTACTGTCAAGCTTTTTGTTAATGTGAATAGTGTTAATGCATTTTATTGGACAGATTAACTGTCTCTGATCGTTGAAAGGTTATTAAATGAAGGTCTGATATTATTATGTATAATATAGATCATAAACTTTAAAAATTACAAATTAAGAAAAACTTTAACTGACAGGGAAAAATTTAAATTTCAAGCATTGGTACTTGTTTCTTTGCAAAAACATGTCAATTTTAAAAGCATTTTTATGACCATGAATGTTCAGTGTGAAAAAAATTGTGAAGGGGAAGCATATAATTGCAGTTTTATTCTTCCGTCTTCCCTTCAGCTGCTTTAATTTAACTGCATCCTGTGGCACATACACCTTATGACTGAATGTATATACTATATTACAAGAACATATACACTTGGTTGGATTAAAGGTCAACGGGGTCAAGGCCATTGAAGCTAAAGATAGATTTTTCAACTTCTGCTTATAGACTGCATTCTTAAGTTCATATCTGAAATATTACAGTTACCTTATATGGACATTCTACTCTGGTAGATTTAGATCTAAATAGGGTCAAGGTCAAGTTTCTTCTTTCTCTCGTAGAGTAGGGTATTTCTATCAATTAATATGACATTTCTTTGTGATATTTTTACTTCTTGGCAAGCAAAGTCATATCTAAATTGTTCTAAAACGTATAGCTCCTTTAAGCTAGTTTTTCTTGCTTAAAATGATTTAACTGTAAATTTGTGGTGTTATTTTGCTTTACTTGTCATGCCCAATATAAATTATAACATGTGCATTATGTTAATATTTTAGACTAAAGAGTAGGATTGTCTTCACAAGTGGCAAAGCCACATCAGGGAGCATACATTGTTCTTAATATATGTAATTTTAAACTTTGGAGAAAGGAAGTTTCTTTGTCTAACATTTTATAACCGGACATTTGGGCAACTAAGTAAACTAAGTATCTTTAAAACTTATTGGTTTGTAGGTAATTTTTCTAGTCAGAAACATTGTCTAGTCCAAATAATGTAGCTGGTTGGACAAGAGGTGTTGACCTATGTTGATATTATAAGAAAAAATCTGTTAAAAACATTTTGTTACTGCAAATTAGATTGTTTATTGATGACTTTGGATAAACTGTCTTTGGTTTGTTTTGAAACTACAGTCATACAATAACAATACAGGACTTGTGTCTGTTTGATTTTATAACATTGCGTTCGGAGATACTAGTACATGAATATTAAGCTCTCCTAGAAGGTTCTTGTAATGCAAGATTACCAGTAAAAAAGAAATATTTTTAAAACTAGAAGGTGCTTTATGCTTTTTTTTACCTTACAGAATTCTACCAGGTGCCGTTGTTTATAGCTTGTGATATTTTAAACAATATTTTATTTGTAGGGGTAACCCTGAACTGGGGTGTGCTGATTGCTTGGTCGGCCCTCAAAGGTTCCTTGGAGTGGCCTGTGTTGCCCCTATATACAGCTTGTGTTGTCTATACAATGTTTTACGACACTATTTACTCCCATCAGGTAGTTTGTTAGGTTCACTAGTCTGTACCTGGGTATACTATATTCACAGGGGAGGAACTGTTACACAAGGGATGGAGTTCCTATGATAACTTGTCAGGAGTTCTTGTGATAACTGTCATTTTTTTTAAAGATGAAAATGACCGTTTTTGACGGGTGTTTCTGTAGTTTATACAAAAGTTTTCCGCCGAACTCCGTATCAGTTATCACAAGAATTCCTGACAAGTTATCATGAGAACTTCATCCCTCGTGTAACAGTTCCTCTCCTGTAATATCAGTTGATACCTACGTATTACACTAGTCAACACCTTTCCTTTTATACATGTAGTTTTAATGCAGCATTTTAAACGTCTTGTGCTTATGTTAGCCCCATTTAGCGCATGTCTTTCCTATTTACTTCTTTATTGTATACAGTAACATGAATGCTAGAAGCAGCAACACAGTGTATCTTTAACAGCTTGTTTATTTGTAACATAGTATCTGTCTAATTCTGAAATTACTGTACTCATTTCATCAGTGTGATAACTTTGTTTAAATGTCATAGCCTTTCCCTCTTTTGGAAAAAATAAAGTCCATGGTTTTTAATAGGGTTGTTTATTTCAACCTGGTAAATTGCCCAGCCTGGACATTGGTGTACTGTAGTCAATCAAAAAACTGAACTGTTAACTGATCAAGTTTAGCCTTTTGATATTGAAACACCTCAAAATAAAGATAGGCAAGACCATGTTATCATTTTAAGGGAAAATTTCAAAATATCTGACTGAACAGTGGAGACCATGATGAGATGGCATGGATTTGCCAGCTGATCTTGATCTGCACTGTTTGCATGGGAAGATTATGAAGCTACCAGCAGGCAAAGGGTTAAAAAACCAATGAAATTCTTAAAACAAATTTAACATAGGAAAATTAATCTCTGGTAATTAGATGTTAATATAAGATATGATGTGAAACAATATAATGATAGGGTGTAAAACAATGTAAATTTCAGAATTAACAGTTTTATTATGTAACTATATGGTCTGCATAAGGTATGCATGTGTGCATGAAATCGGGAATGATTTTGAAAGTTTTTGCCATGTAAATTTAGGATTGTTTCCCCTGTTAAAGTAGAAACCAGTTTTAACTGATTGCTTATTAATTTGCTTGCTGACCTATAAAAAAAATGACACATTAAAATTACCACATTTCTATAAGTTACATATACACCCTTATATTCAAATTTATAATACTGCACATTTGTAACGTCGTTTTTCATTGGATAATCATGATGTTTATATAATCTATATACACGGCTACAGTCGATGTAGGAATAAAATTATTTTTTTCTGCAATAAAGAAAGTTAGCAGTATTGTAAATTCGTTATAGAGATTCTAAATAGGTTATATGGCCCTATATAAACAGTTATTTGCAATATAACCCTCGCCTAACAGCTCAGATTATATATTCAAACAACCGTTTATTTAGGGCCATATAACCTGTCAAAAAGATCTT